TTACCAGAAATTTAGACAAACAAAGGCAGAAGAGGAAGGAAGTGCAAAAAAAACAGCAGAAACAAGATCAAGAAGAGATCATATCTTTGCTGGAGAATGGTTTTGTAGATATTCCACCAGAACTTTGGGAGATGTTAGGTAGACCTCTCCCCAGTGCACAAATGGAAACAATTCAAGAGGAGCCAAACCCTCCAGTATTACAAAGTATAAGACTAAGACAAAATAAAGAAAATACTATGAAGATCCCAGAAAGCCAGAGTCAACCTGCACAGCCTCCACCTTTCCAAGCTGTAAAGTTAAAGAAGCCACAAACCAAATCCATAGCTCAAAAGTTACGGGAGCAAGAGGATAAAACCAGTCTCCGAGACATGATACAACTCAGAAGAGCAAGACCCAAATCTAGTACATCAGAAAATTCGCAAACATCTGAGAAAACAAATCTCAAAGATGTAATAAAGACCCTTAAACCCGTGCCCAGGAATCGTCCACCTCCTCTTGTAAATCTCACTCCCAGAGATGAACTTCTCAAAGATATCCGTCAGAGTAATGTGGCATATCTTAAAGCGGTGAGAATTAAACTTAATTTTACTTTTTTCTTCTTATTCCACAAGCTATAATATATTAACGTTTTACTCTAAACTTCATAATCACTACAGTTCATCGATGTGGTTGTGAGGCAAATAATTTCTGGGTGCCCTTCATGTATCTAAAACATGTACTGTAAAGATTTTCAAAACCACATAATCAATAGGTGTAGGAGACAGAACCAGGTGGGAACATTAGTACCCACCCACCACCATGAGAACTTAAGCCTTGCTCTCTTGGGTGTCTAATTGTGAAGGAGGTATCATATAAAATGTAATTAATTATATAAATTGAAGTGATTGTAAGCAATGTTAAGTCATATGCGCCTTTGCTGTCTATGCACTGCTTCTTGAAACAAAGGGACAAATCTCCTTTACTAGACCACTAGGGAAGAACTCCACATTCCTCTGCCGGTAAAGGGAGACAATAGGTAGAAATTTATCCCGGGCCAGATAAATCTATTGTTTCTCATGGCAGGGTGTTAGACCAACAAACCCACCAGATCTTCCCAGTACTATTGTAACCATGGGTGACATTGAATAACTCATCAACTGTTGGACCACCCTCCATTTATAGGATACAATAACAATTTGTTACAGTACAAAATATTCCAACCACTGTTTCAAATCTATGATCCTGGTCACATTTAAGTTTTTAACTCTTTCACTGACATATTTTGGCATAAAAAAAAAGGATATGTTTTTATTACAATTCATACAAAGACCAAGCATATACGCTGAAGGGAATAACAAATATAGCTATTTTTTCTTTTTTTTTTTCTTTGTTTATTGACATATTGGGAAACTAACTGATCAGTAATCATGTATCTTTCAATATAAAATTCAAGGTCTGAAATATTTATATTGATGAAAAAATATAATATTTGTCCCATAACATAGGAACAAAAATAAATCGAATAGCTCAAATACCCTGCTGATGTATATCTATACTGAATCTTATTGCGTATGTCACCTTATTGTCAACTGCCCACAACTATACTACACTTGTAACAAAATTAATACTGAGAAATAATAAGTTTGACAACATTTCCGTGAAGTGCGGGAGAAGGAAAGGGGATTGTATTTTACATTGTTGATACGGAGATGTAAAGAGTGTAACACAATAAATTGGTTGATTTGCAGGGTGGAAAATGCCGAACTTAACTCCAAGAGAAACTAAGTGAGGTTTATGGGCTAGGATTTGTTTGACAATGCAATGCAAAATAATTGTAAATATGAGTATACATGCATTTGGGAAGGACAAGATTGAACAGGGTCTCAAGTTGTCTTGAGAAAGAAAGTGGTTCAAAACCTATTTTTCAATTTCTGTTCAATTCTTCAGTTTGTTTAAAGGACATGCAATCAGAGGCGTTACTAGAAACTATCGGGCCACTGTGCGAAAATTGCCCCACGTGTCTCATTCCCTACCCCTCACCACCCATGTTTCTTATTCCCCCCCGCCTCCCCATTTGTCTCATTCCCTCTCTCACCCCTCCCCTCCTGTACCTTCTGGCTCTGTGCGTAGCATGGCCGAGTTGTACCAGGTTTGACAGTGAGTACTTCCTGTTAGACCATGATCCACTTGGTCACACTATACGCAGAGACAGAGAGGAATGCACAGCATAGCTCTCCCCTCTTGCCAGTCACCTGGCAATCACAGGCCCTAGGCCCATGCGGAGGTGCACCAGCCCTGAAGTTGTGGTGGCCCACAGTCACAGCTACAAACCCTGTGATTGTGGTAGCTACACCACTGCTTGCAATCAGTTTGTGGGATATACTAAAAGGTATATTCACAAAGCCCTGATCTTGGACATAGCTGCTTTGTGCAAATTATGAGATTAAGGGTGACTGACACACACTGCTTGCTAAACATCCCTGGGCTTCCCCAGCTGAATGCCCAAACAAGTTTAAATCAAGTATAATTTGTCAGAGATTCCATAGTTAAGTTACTTAGAAAATGTCTTCATATTTTACACTTTAACTTGTACAGCTCAAAAAATGTAAGAGAGCACAGCAGTATTTTCATCTAGATGAGTTTTTGATCCTTAAAAGGAACACTGGAGGCACTATAAGCTGCTGGGGGCTCTCAGCTAACATTAAAACATTTAAAATATATTAAAACTGAACAGAATATGGCGCCAGGCAACTCTGGTCACTATAACCACTTTAATGAGATGACACTGTTATTCTGCCTGAAGTGTCCCTTTAACTCTACTAGAGAAAAATCACAAGATGAAAAATGTCACAATTTTTAAACTTGTAGCATCTCTCATTTCTTCTATATTCTCCCCTATTTATCGTACTGTGGAGAACACAGTGGAAAATATATAAACTAATTTTTTTTTATTTTTTTTTACAGGTACCGTTACCTAAAGAGTTGGAGTAAAAGGAAATCTGAACATAAAATAAGTTCTGAAAATGAGACTGTTCAATTATTACTTTTAAATAACTTCTGAGAAGAAATGGAAAATTGTAGTTGCAGTTGTATGGGATCAAAATAGCACATATTTGTATGAAAGCAAAAAATAAATTCTGTGTAATGAAAGACTAATGGACTCATCCAGTGTTTTTCTCAAGTGGAGAGTTTCAATAGATCGGAGAAAAATTATACATTTGAGTAGGTTTATGAGTGTAGCTAACTGCAAAGTACAACAAAGTTCTAGAGGAGCAATCGCCATGGAAAATAGTTGACTCAGCAGAAACATTCCATTGGTTTCTCTGGTGATTGCTCCACATTTAGAAATTTGCCCCACTATGAATACAAGTTCTGAAGGTTTCTTTAAATGTAATCATGGCTGGAGGAATAAAAACTACAGACAGCATAACTTTAATAAATGTCAGGATGCAGTCCTATGATAAGACAACGGAGAGAGTGCATGGGTTCAATGACATACGGATACACAAATATATACAGAGGAAATAAAGTTGATGGTACTTTGAAAATGGATTGAGTTCAGAGAAAATGTGGAGTCCCACAGTGAGAGTGTGTATGGCTATAGTGACATTCCCTATTAGGGAAATAGATTGGCACAGCAATGTGGTCAAAGAAGGAATGGATAAGGATAGCAACACCTCACCGCATCCTCACCTCCTGTGATTTTAAAGAAAAACTCCAAGGACCATAACCACTACAACTCGCCCTATAGAATGGTTTGACTTGTTATCTGGTGTCTGCCAGGCACCACTCACCAGTTCCACTATGAACGGAAGAGAGCTAGAAGCTTAACGCTCCTGGTCTAAGATTTTTCCCCTGGGCTTACAATGACTAAAGCCTTCTTGATATGAATCAGTTCTGGCAGTGGCAGAACTATCGCCGCCGCACACTCAGGGAGTCCATCGGGTGGTCCATACAATTAGGGCACTGTACAGCGTGACTAATTGGGTCTTTCAATTTGGTAGGTTGGGAGGGAGTGACAGACGATCACTGCCTCCCAGTTTAAATAGAGAGCTATGAGGGCTGGAGGAGGTGGCACAAACAGCACCGGGAGGCCCATCAGCAGTCCTTCACAAGGGCCCTTAAGGTTTGACTTGTTTCCCCCTCTGCGGTGCTGGTCAGAATGGCATGTCAGAAGGTACATGTGCATAGTCCTTCACTGAAGGTGGGACTGCATGAGTCACTGTGTGTTTGTAGGTCACTGAGTGTATGTGAGTATGGATCACTGTGTGTGTGTATCAATGTGTGGGGGGGTCATTGTGTATGTATAGGTCAATGTGTGTGTCGGTCACCAAGTGTGTCTATTGGTCACTGTGTGTGTGTGTGTGAGGGGGGGGTTCACTGAGTGTGTATGGGTCACTGTGTGGTTCACGGAGTGTGTGTATGTATCTGTCAGTGTGTATGTATATGTGTATCTATCAGTGTGTGTATGTGTATAACTGTATATGTGTATTTGTGTCAGTATGTGTATATTAACGTGTATGTGCATCTGTGTATATCTCAGTGTGTCCGTGTGTGTATCTGTGTCAATATATGTGTGTGTATCTATAGGTGTGTCAGTCTGTATGCATATCTTTGTCACTCTGTGTGTGTGTCAGTATATTTGTGTATCTGTGTGTGGCAGTGTATTTGTATATGGCAATGCATTCAAGCATTAAAACACCAACAAATTACACACCTGCATTCACATTCCATCACAACACACAAATGCACACCTACATTAAACCGCCAACACTGCACTGCACACAAATGCATACAAATAACAATACTACATTTTATCCATCCTTGCACTACAGGGGATCCCAAAAATGTCTTGCACCAGGGCCCTCTATGCATTAGTTCCACCACTGAGTCCTTGAGTATTTTTTTAAGTAATTGATACTAGAAATGAAAGAGAAAACCCTCCATTTTTGTGTATGAATTTTACCATAGCAGTAGAGAGGGAGCGTAGGGGGGGGAGGGGGGGCTAGGGGTGGGGGACACAACAACAAAAAAAGAATCTCAAACAAACTAGAGATTTTCCATTCAGCTTTTGCAAGTTGGTTGTCACCTGCCTACAACTTAAATAATATTGACAGTTGTAGGAAGGACATTTGGCTTGACATGTTGAAAATCATGGACTAGTAGCAGGTAAACTTTAATATACATATTTTAAAATCGAAGTAAATAATAGCATACTGCAAATAATAGCATATTAGTAAATCATTTATTAGTCATAGTATATAATAGCATATTGTATTGCAACATATCCAAATAACTAAAGGGACATTTTGTTTATTTATCTTAACATAGAAAATCTGTGGATTTTATAATTTGCTGTAAAATAAATTTCTGAAACAGTAAAATTTGCAGAATTCACAATTTCTCCTCACCCCCAATGATATCCTTGATTCATTTTCATATCCCTGACTCAACCATGTTATTTAGTCCTTTAGGCAATTAAAGACATATTTTCTGTGTTAAAATATCACAACACTGACAATTTCAACATTTTCATTAAGCAATTACTTAAAAATATTCTTCCAGTCAGATTACCAAGAACTGAGCTAGACATAGCAGGTATAAAATCTTATCTACAGCTGTGCCAGGCACCACAGAGATTCTAGAGTCTGATAATAAACAGGAGCTGCCTGAACGTTAATGATATTTCCTAATGTCAGACCAGGAAGTTCATTTGCTACAAATTTGTAATCTATGCATTCATCTGCTGATGCATTTTCCGAGTTGATAAGAAAAAAAAAATAGTATTATATCTATTAAATTATTTGGGATTCTCCTGTAAATTTAACCCATAGCCCACAGAACTGGAGTGTTATGGGATGAAAATTAAAGTAAACATAATGTCAAATGCGTTTCACATTATGAGATTATCTAACAAGCTATATAATGAACTGGGGGGGGGAAAGGATACATACTCAAAGTTCACTGCAGATGCACAGCTTGGAGGGTTCGCCTGTAGGTAGACAGTAAACAGGTAGACAATATAAAACTTTAATAGAGTACAAATCAAATGCAGAGATTTAGATATAAAATATCTGTGCTGTATAATTGTATTTGTTTAACTCCAAAAGGACGACGACTGTCTATACCTCATAGTCATCTTAGTCATCTGTTCTATAAGGATTCCATTCTAATATGAAACCCCTCATGTGGATAAGAACTGGAGGATTAAATGGTGCTCCAAAAGCAAAATGAAAAGGGCATTCCATATTAATATATCTAGATCTGTATCCAGTGACTAAATTGTAATGATGGCAAAGGGCAACATTTAATCCATAAAAGGGGAATCGTCACCCATCTAGAATGTATACCATTGTATAAAATCACATATAGAGTAATGGGAAAAAGAAAACACGCCCACTTTAAATTCTATGGTTTTACATATCAGGGCATAACATCGGTCCCTTAGCAAGTTTTCAAATAAAGCCAAAATGGAGAATCCATGTGTGAAAAACTAAGTACACCTTATAATTCAATATCTTGTAGACCCACCTGTAGCAGAATTAACTTGAAATTATCATTTTCTGTATGACTTTATCAGTCTCTCACATCGTTCTGGAGGAATTTTGGCCCACTCTTCATTACACATTGCTTCAGTTCATTGAGGTTTGCGGACATTTGTTTATGCTCAGGTCTCTTCAGGATCCACCACAGCATTACAATCAGGTTGAGATCCGGACTTTGACTGGGCCATTGCAACACCTCGATTCTTTACTTTTTCAGCCATTCTGTTGTAGATTTGCTGGTGTGCTTGGGATCATTGTCCTGTTGCATGACCCATTTTTGGCCAAGCTTTAGCGGTCAGACAGATGACCTCACCTTTGATTTTAAAATACTTTGGTATACAGTTGAGTTCATGGTTGACTCAATGACTGCAAGATTTCCCCGTTACATTTGGCATAAGGTGTTTGTGCTGATATGCTTCTGTTGGTTTTTGCCAAACGTGAGCCTGTGCATTATTCCCAAACATCACCACTTTGGTCTTGTCTGTCCAAAGGACATTGTCCAGAATTCTTGTTGTTTGTTCAGATGCAACTTTGCAAACCTAAGTTGTGCTGCCATGTTCTTTTTAACTTCCACTGGCAAACCCTCTAAACAAACCATACTTGTTCAGTCTTTTTCTTAAATTGTATTGTTATGAACTTTTTTAACATATCTTTATTTTTGTTTCCTTAGTACCAAAAGCAGAAAGAATAAAAGCAGTACCAGCTATTTCTTCCTTATTATCTAGACATATCCACATAACAACAACAATACGCACATTAACCCCTTAACGCCGTTACGGCGTTCTATGCCGTCCCGCATTAAATGGGCTTTAAAGCCGTTGGGGGAAGCTTAAAACGACGTAACGGCTTATGCCCCCAGCAGCTCCGATTTACTCACCTCTGCCGCAATCCTCTTCTGGACGGCTGCCTGACAGCCCAGGCAGCCCTCCCACAGCAAATGAGGCACCCGGGGGCCATGTGATCGCTCTCAAAGAGCGATCACATGGCCCCCTATAGCTGGCTGTGGATCTGCCAGTAGGGGGACTATCTGAAATGTCATTCAGTCCCCCTGCTAGTGGGTAATGTTAAAAAAATAAAATAAAAAAAAAATTAAACATGTTTTAAAATAAATTAAATGTATTTATATATAAATATAAAATTTATTATAAATATATATAAAAATCTTATATTTATGTAACGTGATACGTAATGTATTTTAATATTAATATAAGTACATATATTAGTATTAAAATACACTTAGAATGACGTTACATGTATTATATATAATATATATCTTATATCTATATATATTATATTTATATATACACGTATAATTACAATAAATAAAATAAAATATTTAAAATTTTTTTATAAATTATATATACACATGTAATTTCATTCTAACTGTATTGTGTTATATATATATATATATATATATATATATATATATATATATGTATATGTAACAAAATACACTTAGAATGACATTCTATATATATATATATATATATATAATTACATAAATAACTACATAAGTGTACACATAGACTTTAAATACATATATATGTATATATATTAAAATTCTACATGTATATTTAAGTAATATTTTAACATAATTATGTGATTTAATTAGTTAAAATTTGATTGACATGCCTGACAACCCAGGCAAAAAGTGCAGAGAATTTGAATTGCAAGCACTGTATTTAACCCTGTAACTTTCCAATACACCATAAAACCTGTACATGGGGGGTACTGATTACTCAGGAGACTTCGCTGAACACAAATATTAGTGTTTCAAAATGGTAACTTGTATTAGAACAATGATATTTTTAGTAAAAGTGACGTTTTTTGCATTTTTCACACATGAACGGCACTTCATGTGACTAAGTGGCTACTACAAAAGACTGGACATACCCCACTTGCAATACCTTGGGTAGCCTACTTTTGCAAATGGTATGCCATCATGGGGGTAAATCGCATTCCTGGGCTACTACACGGTCTCAAAGGTAACATTACTAATCTGGCAAATTTCAATTTGAAAAAACTGAAAAATGTAATGTGCTATATTTGACCCTTTAACTTTCCAAAACACCATAAAAACGGTTAGTGAGGGGATACTGTTGTACTCGTTAGACTTTGCTGAATCCAAATATGTGCCTTTTTTTGCAGTAAAATCTAACAGTATCATGACATTTACAGCTAAAATGTGAGGCGGAACTACACATTTTTACAAAAATTTACAATTTCTCACAGTTGTTTTGATTTTATTCATAATAAATTATGTTTCTTATATAAATAATTGATATGAAATGAAAGCCCTGTTTCTCCTGAACAAACTGATATATAAGTGTGGGTGCATATAATATGAAAGAGGTGAATTACGGTTGAACAGACATGTAGCGCAAATTCCAGTTTTTGTTTACATTTTGTTTTGATCAGAACGTGTACTATTGACTCCGTCCTGAAGTGGTAAACCCTTAAGGACTGAGCCAAATGTACACGTTTTGATCAAAATAAAAAAAATCTGAATATTTCCGTCATGTGTCCTTAAGGGGTTAAGGAGAAATAGGACTTTCATTTAACATCAAATATTTAGCTATAAAACATAATTTAATATGAATAAAATGTAAAAAAGTGAAAAATTAAGAAATTGTTATTTTTTTAGTTTTGCATGACATTTTAACTGTGAATATCATAATACTGTTTGCTTTTACTGCAATAAAATACACATATTTGTATTCAGCGATGTCTCACGTGAAAAACAGTACCCCTTATGTACAGGTTTTATGGTTACAGGGTCAAATATAGCATGCTACATTTCTCATTTTTTTCACATTCAAATGTTGTCTTTGAGACTGTATGGTAGCCCAGGAATGAGAATTACCCCCATGAAGGCATACCATTTGCAATAGTAGAGAACCCAAGGTATTGCACATGGGGTATGTCCAGTCCTTTTTAGTAGCCACAAACACCACTGGCCAAAGTTAGCGTTAATATTTGTGTGTGAAAAATGCAAAAAAAACAAAACTAATTTGTACGACAATTTTGGCCAGTGTTTCTGACTAAGTGGTTAGTAAAAAAAGACTGGACATACCCCATTTGCAATACATTGGGTTGTCTACTTTTGCAAATGGTATGCCATCATGGGAGTAATTCTCATTGCCGGGCTACCATACGGTCTCATAAAATTCAGACCCCTTAAAGGTTTAAGACATATTTCACCCGAGACATTACAATTAAAAATGGACAAATATACACAACGCCTTTGTTCTTGGTTTTGCCTAGACTTAGACATTCAGGTATTACCCATATCACATGTGTTTTTATTCCACAGTTCACAATTGCGTTGGTCCCGTGGATCTAATCCTTGTGCTCTATAAAGTGAAGCTTATATTTTTTATTGGAATTGGACTTGGTTGTTCAATGATTCCAATGATGGATACCTCTTTTAAAAGGGTATTATTTCTGATTTTAAATCGCTAGTACCTCCATAATTATTATACATAGAATTGGAGACAGCGGGCAACCCTGTCTTGTACCGTTATGTAAATTAAACCTTGCATATGTTTGGGCAACAGCTCTTGTAGTAGGACTGTAATACAAGGGCATAATTGCTCAATGAATCCAGCCCTGCATACCGAATCTGATCAATAACTTACTTAGGAATTCCCAACAGACCCCGACAAATGTCTTCTCCGCGTCTATTGCTTAAAGTACCAGTGGAAGTTTTTTTCTATGCACATGATCCACTATGTCAATAATTCTTCTGGTGTTATTTGAGTCCATTCTACCTGGCACAATGCCTAGTTGATCTCAATCAATTATATTGTTTAGCATTTCCTTCAATATCTTTACAACCCCGTTTATCAAGGAAATAGGTCTGTGATTTTCTACCCTAGTGGGATCTTTGTCCTGCTTTACAGTAGGTAGAATATTTCCTGTAGGCATTTCAGAAGAAAAACGACCTGATAATTCAATATGATTAAAAGGTACCTGCTATATGTTCTGCAATATTTTTCGCAAATGTTTTATAAAAAAAGATTCGAAAAACCATTGGAACCTGGAATTTTTTTGCATTTTGAAAATTATCACCTATTGTACCCCCTGAGATATTATGCTGTTTTCTTTGAATGTCCGATATTGACGGAAATTTAATTTGATTCAACAATTTATCTTTTTGACTGTTAGAAAGCGGCAGATCATATAACTGACTACAAAATGAGTTAAAGCACTTGCCTATAGATTTTGGAGTATAAAACTCATTGATGTCGTTTCTAATTTTTGTAATTTTATTATCTGCTACTTTAGCCTTTAATCTCTGAGTTAGTATCCTATCTGCCCTATTACCCTTACTGTAATATTTCATCTTTAATTTCTCCATTATTTTGACATTGTTTTCCAAGATTTTCTGATTTATAAGATTTTGAATATTTCTCAGGAAGTCTGAATTGACCTTTGAGGGGGAAGATTTATTCTCAGATGAAGCCTTATCTAATTCAGCATATAACAGCACTAAATCTAATTTGTTTTTCGTTTTTTATACTGTGAGTTTAGATCAATCAGATTCCCTCTCATAGTAGATTTGAAAGCACACCAATTATTAGATGGAAAAGTGTCCTTGGCCTTGTTCTCCTTGAAGAATAATTTGATTTGGTTTTCCAGTACCTCCAGATATTTAGAATTATATAGTAAGGTATAATTAATCTTCCAAGTATTATTATTATTATTATTATTATTAATTGACCATTGGTCTTTCATCGACCACTTAACTATATTGTGATCTGACCATGTATTTACAATTATTTTGCCATTTTGTAGATTATTAACAACCAAGGCATTACCCCAAACCATATTTATTCTTCAATGCGAGCAATGGACTCTTGAAAAATATGTAAATTATTGTATACCAGGATTTAATAATCTCCAACAATCAAAATAGTCAAACTTATGTATAGTGCTAGTAAGAGATTTGGACGTTTTAAAGGAACACTATAGTCACCTAAATTACTTTAGCTAAATAAAGCAGTTTTAGTGTATAGATCATTCCCCTGAAATTTCACTGCTCAATTCACTGTCATTTAGGAGTTAAATCGCTTTGTTTCTGTTTATGCAGCCCTAGCCACACCTCCCCTGGCTATGATTGACAGAGCTTGCATGAAAAAAAAAAAAACTGGTTTCACTTTCAAACAGATGCAATTTACCTTAAATAATTGTATCTCAATCTCTAAATTGAACTTTAATCACATACATGAGGCTCTTGCAGGGTCTAGCAAACTATTAACATAGCGGGGATAAGAAAATCTTAATTAAACAGAACTTGCAATAAAGAAAGTCTAAATAGGGCTCTCTTTACAGGAAGTGTTTATGGAAGGCTGTGCAAGTCACATGCAGGGAGGTGTGACTAGGGTTCATAAACAAAGGGATTTAACTCCTAAATGGCAGAGGATTGAGCAGTGAGGCTTCAGGGGCATGTTCTATACACCAAAACTGCTTCATTAAGCTAAAGTTGTTCAGGTGACTATGGTGTCCCTTTAAGAAGATTTTGATTAATTGTCTTATCTTTAGCTAACTTCTTATTATTGTTCGGGTCCAGGACACAGTTAAAATCACCTGCAATGAGGCAAATGCCGGTTTTTATTTGTTCCAGAATTTTTTTTCAGTGTAACCACTGGCAACATATTTGGCAGATACACGTTAACCAATGTGTATTTAATTTAATTAATTTTACATACTATAATAAGGTATCTTCCCTCTGGATCAGCATATTGGTATACAAGATCGACTTTAATTGATCGAGAAAATATAATTGATACCCTCCATTTTTAAAAAATCTTTAATAGTCGCATAAATTAGAGTTGGAAATCTAACTCCTTCCAACTTATTTATATTAAGCCCTCCAATGAGTCTCTTGAAAGTAGCCTACATCTATTTTTTCCCTATCTAAAAAAATATAGACCAATGATCTTTTTGCTGTCGAGTTAAGGCCCTGAGTGTTCACTGTTATCATTCTAACCATTTTGCTTCCATGCGAACAGCCCCCAAGAACCAAAGCGATATGTTTACATAAAATTTAAAACAGACAAATACATTAATCATAAAACTTAGCCAATTGATCAACTCAATCAAATTGGCCTGGAATGACCTCCCTCCAACTTTCTGGTTGACTGGAGTCATTTTACAAAAATTGGGTGTATAACTCAATACCTTCGTTTTTTGAGTCTCACTACTGAACACTAGTTAGGGGAAAGAAGAGATCCTGCCTTGCAGGGACACTAAGTAATTATTTTTATGGGAATTATTCGTAATTACATTAAATCAAGAGGAATTCCTACCCTACCACACCCTATATTTTCTTTATTTTCATAATATACGTGTGAAGGAGAAAAAAACCCCCCAAAAACTCCCTCTAAGAATTGGAGTATCAACTTCTAAAGGTTTTCATTATCATCTAATTACATTGTTTTCACCGGCTATTCTTAGTTCTCCTCCATGTCTATTACCTCCATATTCTCAGATACTTTCCCTGCTAAACGGTGCAGTTAATATTACTTTCATAAACCTGATACCTCTCTGCTATTAACTGCCGCTCCACCTACTATAGTCCAAGTATATGAAACTCTTATGGATTCATATACCTTATATTAGTAAATTAATTATAACCGCACAAACTATGATATGAAAAGTAAATTAAACAGAAATACTTCAGAAACTATACAATGTGCACAATTCATACTAACGGTCTATGAGTTATTTATTTTAATACATAGATCCATTCTTTCCCTTATCTCATCTATAGTACCATTATCTTATTTTTATGCTTGTAAGGACCTATTGCACATTGTTTTCATTTCTGTTGTCTAAGCAAAGCACGAATAATTTAATAAGTTGACTGTATTCCTATATATTTATATTTTAGTTTGCCTTACCCTATAAATCCTTATACAACATCGTTAATTCAATAACTTGTAAAAATGGTTTATTGCTGAATTAAAATCATTCTTCCATTCATCTTAGTCACATCAATTCTCTAAAACGTGACAGAAATAAAAAGAAAGAAGTAAATTGTTCCATAACACTGAAATCTATACAATCGTTGGGTAAACTTTACCCAAATCCATGTCTATTACAACCTTTTTCTCATTGAATTAGCATAATGATCAGTACGGTTTGTATAATTTACACCATATACCTAAAACCGCTCTTCTATTGACTACTATTCCAGCTACAGGGGTCGCCTTTTATATATAACTCCTATGAACTTGTGAATTTTTTCTCATTGTGATTATTACTTATTAATGCTACCTTTCAGTAAAAACTTTGCTATTCACCTTTTCCCTTCTATACTGCCTAACCTTACTTTAGTAGGTCTACTTTATTGTATCGAGACTGTGATATAATAAATATAATTCAACATAAAGTAATTCAAGAGTTGTGTGGTGTCCTAAACTCATTTTAACAATCTGTGAGGTATTAATTTTTATACTTAAAAGGACACTATAGTCACCCAGACCACTTCAGCTTAATGAAGTGGTCTGGGTGCCAGGTCACTCAGGTTTTAACCTTGCAGATGCAAACATAGCAGTTTCAAAGAAACTGCTATGTTTACATTGCAGGGTTAAGCCAGCCTCTAGTGGCTGTCTTCTGGACAGCCACTAGAGGCGCATCTGCGACGCTGGAGGCACATTGTATCTCTGAAAAGGCAGTGTTTACATGAAAATGCCTGTATATAATGATTATACTCACCAGAACAACTACGTGAAGCTGTAGCTGTTCTGGTGACTACAGTGTCCCTTTCATATATATTGACAATAATCTTCCCAACAAACAATCCCTCTAAACATATTCACACACACTGCACCCCGGACACTCTCAGCACCCACACACACAGCTCCACTCACACACACAATACTACAGAACCCCTCACACACTCACTGCACCCCTAAACACATTACATTCCAGGCACACACTAGATACCTTACCCAACTCTGGATCATCTACACACACTAGATCCCTATATACACTCTGGATCCCCTATGAACACACTAGATTACTTGTAAGCAAACACATACTACATTCACTAAACACACACTCTCTTCAACCCCTACACACACACTACAGCCCGTACACACACTATGTCCCCTAGATACACATACATTACACCACAAACACAACACAACAAAAACCAACCTATTTACATGCTACCACACCACAATCAGCTCACTCTACACACATGCAATACCACAAGCAGGTCCAAATACATGCACAATACTCTATTCTGGCATTTTTGTCTCCTGGTATCCCATTTATGGAGACACAAGAGACAAGTTTCAAGCAAACAGTGCAAGCATTTTATTAAATTTGCTTGTGCTGTGCAGAACAAACACAGGGCGTTTTTCTCATGCTAGAGATCTTCAGCAGAGCTCTGTGCATGGTCTGCCCTGGAAGAGCATTGAACGAACATGCTCACTTTGTGATGGGGTGTGCTTGTCATTGGTGATGACAAAACACTCCCTATCTTGCCCCGCTCCCTTCTCAATGCGCCGCGGTGATTTAAAAAAAAAAAAAAAAAGCCAGGGCCAAATTTTCTTTCCAGTCCGGCCCTGCCAATGACTAAATTATGTTAATCTCATTTTCATGAGATATGGTTCTCTTTTAAATATATATTCTGTATGTCAAAAACCTTTTGTCAAACATTCCAATGTGGTCCTTAGTGGATACAGGGTTGAACACTGCTCTTAATGTGAACAAAAAAAGTTATGCAAGGAGTATTAGCAGATGATGATTGGTGAGGAAACTAAGTTGCACAACATAATTTTCTATATAAGGTCTGTGTTCATGGACATACAGAAATATCCTATAACTTTGACTTTCAATTTCTTCTTTCCCAGTGAAATAACAATGAAAATTATCATGATCAGCTGGGCCAAGTTGTTAAGTTTTAGGGATAACAGACTAATGAAGCTCAGGCCCAGTAGATCATTTTGCCCAGGGCAATTTTCTCACCTTTGAAGGAACAAGCTGACCAAGTTGTTCTTGTACAAGTGGCCAACTGTTGTCCATGAGGGACAAATTGCTCACACAAGCTAAGCCAAGGTGCTGGATATTGCGGAAGACCAAGTGGGTTATGTACTGGGTGGGGTATGAGGAGTAAATAACATTTTTTATAAATTAACCAGTTTCAATGATATTACATACAATGAAAGCTCAACGTATGGAGATTTGTTTGACTAAGTAGAGAATATGACATCTTTTAAATGAGCTCCATTTGTTGCCTTGTAAAGTCGTTTTCCTGTCACAGGAAATAGGACGTCACATATAAGAACATCCACTAAAAAAGCATAACACACAAACCACTACCTCCCTGACGAAAGTCAAGGAAATTGTATTTAACAGTTCTTCTCTGAATTTGCTAAGGAACCCTTTGTCAACATTTTGAAGAGACTGGAATTACTAGTTAGAAAACATTCAAACACCTGCTCTGGACTGGCCACCAGACTTAGGATGATAAGTTATTTAGAGACAGGTTATGAAAAGAATGCCTCCATACAAACTTTGTGAGGTCCACTTGGTGGACCAGGAAACAGACAAGTGATCTCAGTCAGTCAATGGGAATATCTTTTTTTTTTTTAAACACAAAATGCTCAGAGTCGTAGGCTGGCCCTAGAATAGTAATATGAAAGGCTGGCCTAAAACCAAAGAAACATGGAACAACAAACCAATTAAGGAAGAGAGTTATTTTTTTCCACCTGTGTTATTACAAAAAATAGTTATTTATGCAAACAAGTGGTCTATTTTTTTTTTTTTTTTTTTTAGATCTCAAGGTAGGGTGGAAACCAGGCACACGGTATGCTTATCTCCTACACTTCTGTTTATCTAGGCTACCTTAAAACAGACCATACTATACACGCACAGCTTAGGGCATCATTCTACCAGAAAAACAAGAAGGAAATATATTATCTGATGCTCTGAAACAAACTAGATTATAGTTTAATGGTTACTTACCTTTTTGAAGTTTTGATGTAGACCAGAGTCCAAATACAAAGTTCAACTGACCCACCTGTATGGACAACCTTCTTTTACCCCTTCAGTGAATATTATACCTGAAGCTAGTGAAAATTTGAAAAACTACCTCAAGAGGGATATATTTTTTATATATATATCTATACATGATGTTTTAAGAGGAGGTGCTCTCCATCACCAAGTGGGAAGGGAACAATAGTAATGAAGTCTATTCACCAAATTAAAAAACAAAACGGGAGAGATAGTGTAACACATATACCAGTATCTTTTTTTTTATAAATTCAAGTTGCCCTGTAATCCATAGTTTTAAAAAATCCTTCCTCATAAGAATATCTGCAACAGTGTTTAAAAAAATGCATGTATTGAAAGACAATAACATGATAGAACAAAGCTACAAATACCATTTTTTTTTTTACATTTCATGGTTTATTTCCATAATATATGCCTTTACTTAGCTCTAAAACTTCTATACAGAACTGTGAAATATTGCACAAGGAGTATATTTATACATGCATCATATCTAGAAATCCAAATGATCCTTTAAATCACAGAATATTGTCAGTAAATTGCATGAGGTGTTCAGCCACGTCCATGAGGTTTAGATCGAGGCATTACCAATTTTATTCTCAAATATTAAAAAAATGTCTTTTGATTCTATTTTTTTTCTTCCATCCTTTGGTTCTTTAAAAAGGTCTTCAGATATTTTATATAGTGAAAGATACCAGACCAAAATGTATGCACCTCACAGTACTCTTATAGAACAAATACCAGAAAAGTATTAAGTAGTCTGATGGATCTAAATCTGCCCATCTAATCTGGTGTTTGATGAGTTACAAACACCTAGATCACCGAGTTTCAAAACAAGTCTCAAAAAAGTCTCGAGTATCACCACTGATTTAAATATGCATTGATTTTACACACTGGAACACAACAGGGTAATCTCAAAACATAAGTAGGAATTTGCATTGCTTGGAATACCGTGGGTGTCCTTTAGGTTTGAGATTAACTTCTAAAACAGCTACTGAAGTCAATGAGCAAGCTCATCAAAAGATAACTCATGAACATCAGTCATCCTTAAAGTGTCAGCAAGCTTGCCCATAGTTTAAACTATATGGCTTCAGTGTACAGCAAGGCACCACTAACTAAATATAGTGTTATGGGATCATGGTGTTATTTTTTTATCCGGATGCAATTTACACAAGTAGTAAGTCAACGCGAAGGACCATCAATATTCTAAGATTTAAATATTACCTTATTTTCTTCAAGTTATGATGTTATTTCTAATACATTCAAAGCATTAACTAAACATTAAATAACCTTTGCTCTTTTTTGTATTAAACAACTAAGCACTGATTCCAAGATTTAAAAGGGAGCTGCCACTTCGCAGAATTTTTAATATCATTCTTACTTATCACTATATTTAACAAATATGTATTTGTAAGATGTGAAAATGAAACTTAAATGCAACAATTCTATTCCTCCTTTTCATGCAACTGGGTGCCTCCATCTTAGCTGTCTGTCAATCATGTTATTTTTCCTCCTTATTTGCAATGTTTGCCCTGGCTGTGCATGTATTCAATTGGATTGTGATGTAAATGACAAGCTTTAATATAAAATAAAATATAAAAAAAAAACACAAAAAAAGGTTAACACATCTTGCAGGTTATGGTCACTGTTGTATTCAATGGTGCAATTTCTAGAGAAGTGAAGATACCTATTACATTGGAAGTACCCCAAACTGTTTTTGTTTTTTTGCCTTATTTTGGATCAACAGCAAAAACAGATGTGAGAAAGGCTGAACTTGATGGACGCATGTCTTTTTTCAGCCTGTGTAACTATATAAAGTGGATCCATTAACTGTGAAAACTGCTGCCACTGCCAAGTCAAATCTGTTACTTATGCAGAGTGATTTGTACTGACTTTGCAGATACTACATTGATTAAAGGAAGGAAGGAAGGCAGGCAGCTGAGCAGTGAATTTCAGTCTAGTTTTGAAAAATGATTACTCCGTCTTGTGCTCCCCATCTCCATTCTCCTCCCCTTCTCTTCAATCTACCAGGATACTGTATATCTTCAAGTGGAAGACATATTCACATAATATGAATATATATACCTAAATCCTGTCATCAATGATACCAGTGCATGGAAAATTTGTAAAAAGTGACAGATCTAAGTTAAAGGGATTCTCCAGTTGGCACGAGAAGATGCTGGAGTTCAAACCCCTTCAGACACTTACCTGACTCCAGCGCTGATGTCCCTCGACCACTTCAATGAGCTGAAAGGGTCTGGGTGCCTACAGTGTCCCTTTAACTTAGACGACACAGAAATAACTTCTTGCGTAAAATGTACTGGCATCCATAAAGGGCAATTCATTCAGCTCAAAAATCAAATACAAACGGCCTACTGTAAAGCCAGATAAAATAGCTTAAATTCTACCAGCAAACCTATTTGCTAAATCTAGGGATATTTGGCAAACCTATTATTTTGGTCTAAATTGTGCAAGAGGTATGTTTGCTACACCACTCATTGGTTAGTGAATGCGTTCCTGAGCTTATACAAATAGGTTTGTATTTAAAATGAGAATTAAATCTCATATTATATATTTTTATATTACTTGGAACATTCAACAACTCACCTTTGGATAATTTTCTCCATATTAACTTTTGCACAATTCTCACTGGCTGCAAAGTGTATGATCATCTCGCCATAGAGAATAAGGAGTCCCAAAACAGTGATTATAACAAAGGAAGTGGTCCTGCCATACACCTCAGATACAAAAAGCATTGTTTGTTAATCCAAATCTGCCCCCTACACATGATAGCCCAAAACACTGAATTCCAAGCAAAAAAACAAAAAGGACTGTATAAATAAATTTGTACCGCCGAGCTTAGCTTGATTTTATCTTATTATTTTGGTAACAGTTCTCCTAATAAAAAGAAGTCTGTAGTATTTAATTTTTATTTTTTTTAGTATTAGTAGCAGAAATTATTGCATGAACCTCAAGTGGCAAAGCTGTCTAAAGTTTACTATGAACAGGATAAAATACAATGTTAGTTGAGGCATAATCCAAGATCTTAGATAGTGCAAGTGCTACAAAACATTGAGTGCATTAGTGCACAATGTTTCCATACATGTTTATATAGGCAGTGGACTTCTTTCTGAAAAATAGTACACAAAATGCAATTACACACAGGAACTTTTTCAGCTCTTCTTAAATAATATATATATTTAGACATACTACAGCAGCACATGTCGTCCATATAAACAATAATGAGAATCATAAACAAATAGAATACATTGCTATTTTTCCTATAAGCAAATCACTTGGATTCACCATTTTAGCCAAAAAGCCTAAAAGTTAAGCAGATAGCATTCATTAGCGTGCAAGTAAATTAGTTCAAGCTGATTTTACAAGACGATGCTATGAGGGTTTGTACAGAATGTCTAGGCTCTGGGGCAGAATCACGAAACAGTGATACTGAACGTGTGCTGAATTTACAACAAGTTTGAAAAAGTAAGGCCAGTGCAGCGGAGTGAAAAGATTTATCCAGCTTTGTTAGTTTACTCTAAATTCTGAAAATCTGCCCTTCGCTCATCAGAACAGACTCATATGCTTGAATCTGCAAGGGTCAGGAAGCTAAAAAATTAGCTTGAAGGATACTCTGGGCACCATAACAACATCATCACTGATCCCTCTGCCCTCGAACTTCTGCTCCATGTTCAAGACTTCAAACCGGGAATCTCCCATTGGGGGAAGGGGGAAGGGAGGGATACTTATTTGCATTGCTGGCACAGATCTATACTCATATCACAACAGCAGTTGTTTTGGTATCCTTAGTGTCCCTTTAACAAGAAAGTATGAACTATGAGGGTTCTTGATTACCTTAAAAAGAAATCTAATTTTTCCTGACATATTTACAGCTTTGTGATATAAATAGAGACTCCAAATTCCAAATGTTTGTGTAATGGTAAGGATGTACAACGCATAGCCATAGTAAAAAAAGTACTGAAAAGATTATGCACTACAGTAATGATTTTCAGTGGAAGTGGATCCCTGGAACTTTTTAAAGCAATGTACGATTAAAGTGAAATCTTGCATTACCATCAAATATAGCATTTGCTTAGCTGGTAATAAGAAAAGCAAAAAAGGCTGCTCCCAGCAATATAATACTGTAACCATCAATACAACAAACACTGCAAAGAGACACTAGCTGTCAAAAAGTAATTATAGGGATATCAAATGATACTCTATTAAACTTGTCAGACTAACACCAAGATGTCAGATGATAGTCGATTTTATCATGATTTAGAAGTAAAGCTACTAAACATAAGGTAGCGTTAAATTTCTAGTTTACAATTTGTAAAAATAAGCAGATATCCAGACGGCAAAAACAAAAATCCACCCAGACCAAAGTGAAGCAACAATGTGGTCAGTGTTCCCTCTGATGTGAGCTGTAAAGCATTGTAAGAGATACAAGATTGCATTTCTAAAGAAAGAAAAAAAAAAAGAATTGCACTGTGCAGTGTTGCATAGAGCAGAGGGTGATTTTCATAAAAGCCCTTCCTTAATGGCTTCAGTGTTCACCTTTGAAGTAACACTGATTATTAATACATATTAACACGAAGCTCACTGTAAGGACGGCTAGAATATTGTATTTTTAGATAGCTGTAAAGTTAACCTTAAAAATGTGGAGTCAAATTATGAACAGGGGCACCTCAGGGGTCTTCATCTAGTCACAGAGACTGGACTTGGAGTAATTATAAATGGCTAATGCAAGTCATCCGTTAAAGGTTGAAGGATGGGAGGACATTAACTCATTGTTCATTTGGAATAGAAAGGTTAAGGTTTTCAAATAACTGTAAGATAGGACTCAATTTGGAAGACCTGCACAATTACAACTTTCTCAGTTTCAGTTTATAACCTGTAAACAATGCAAAACATTCTGCATCTTGACCCATCAGTCTAACAAAAAAAAAAAAAAATGAATTTAAAAAAGTGAGGTCTTCATGTATGACCAATTATTTTGGGTAATTACATGGCACAAGGTGGCTGCCATTTCACATAGCTGAAACTTAATGACAGATACCTCAACTGATCAACAGCAGAGAGAAGCTGAGGGGGGATCCTACACGGAGTATTTAATCCTTTACTTTGCTAATGTAGTCAGCTATCTTAGAAATGCCCTCTTCGTGCTGTTCCAGAGCCTCAATGACGATTCCCATTGGGGTCTTCTTCAGACCAATTTCCTCCATTTTGTTTTCTACTTTGTTCTTCATGTTACGAAGCCTGAGCGAAGCATGGATAAACATCACTGGAGGAAAAAATAAATAAAAGGTAGAAAGACAAACACTGGTTAATGCATTGATTTGTCCTAAAAGCGTCTGCAATCATAAAAGTTATTTTATGTTTTTTACATACATATGATAATTTAAGTAATTAAATAAATGCACGCACATATATATATATGCACCCTCTTATTTGGATCTGTTGCACATCAAACAGAAGATGACTGATATATGTTTACACTGATTTCAGTGTCTACATGGCAATATATGTCTAAAAAATGTGTATGTCTACAGAGTATAACTATGTGTGACTCTGTGTCTGCAAACATGTGTTTTTGTATTGCGCATGTCAAGCATGCATCTAAGGTTGTATCTGTGTGCATGTCTGAGAGCATATATGTGTCCCTCAAAATGGTTTTGTAAGGGGCCCAGCGATTTCTGATGGAAGCTCTGTCCATCATTAAACGACACGCGCAGCATAAGGTGGCAGAGATCTGTGCATGCCTGAGACAGATCTATTTATGAAACTCCTTTCCCACCAATGACCTGCATATGGATCTTGAGCACCTATTGGTATATACCTCCAGAGACACCATAGATGCACATCATAGTCTGAAACTGGTTGACCCAAGATACTTCAGTCTCCTGGGTAATATCCCTGTGGATACTCAGGGCATTGAGAATATCAAGATTACATGCAGTTAGCCCAAGCACACACACAATCCAAAACAAAAACTAGCCAACTAAAGATACATTTTTACTTACATAGCAAAGGAAAAGTGATTCCAAACACAAACACCATGACTCCCCCGAACAGAGATATGACAAAGTAGCTTGCCAACATGATAGAGAGAACAAACAGAGTGGGGAACCTTTTCTTAAATTTACGAATAATATCCTTGTTGTGTGATGACCAGACAAATCCCAAGAACACCAGAACCACGACGGTTGCACCAAGAACCATATTTAGTGGACTCAGAAATCTAGAAGAAAAAAAAAAAAGAAAAGAAAAAATACCAGTCATTTATTGATATAAGGAATATGCTTTAATCTATACAGGGAGTCACCTAAATTGCATGTAAACATAAAACATAATTATGTTAAAGGAATAGTGTGGGCACGCTAACCACCTTCAATGATGAAACAGCATAGGCAGAGCTATGTTCTCTTTATGCCATGCCAGGAGTAGCGGGGGGCAGTGATAGGCTGATAGTGTCAAATGGATAATCTCAACCATTCCTTGAGAGACTAAAGAATAGCTTCTGCTATATTGTCACTGGAGGCAGGGTTTCAGGCTGCCAAAAAAGTAGAATCTCTACTAAACAGAAAATAAACTTTTTAGAACAGCCCACGGACTCCACGCACCATAACCACTTCAATAAGTTGAAATGGTTATGGTGCCAACAGTGTTCCTTTAATATTCTTACCCACTTTATTATTTAATACAATGCCATTAAACCCTTCACATTGAGAATTGTGAGATTTCAGAAATATGTATACAACACAAATGAGAAAAATTAAGGAGGATGGCATGTTAGAAAGAAAATATAAATAATGTAAAAATTTTTAGCTACTAAACAGAGAATCTGTAGAATTTTAAAAAAATTCTATGAAATTATCAATGTAAAATATTATTTTAACCTTTTTAAAATTTAGAACTGCCTAAAATTCAAATTTCAGCAATAAACTGTTTAATATTTTAATGTGCAAGCTTTTTATTTTTTTAATCAAAAACAGGAAAAATAACCACAATGGCACATTTGAAAAGGATGCCGCTCCAATGACCAGAAACAGAAATCCCTTGAGGCTGAATACCTATTTCTCATTTCCATATTTATTCTCCACCTGCCCTAGCCAGTCACGCGCTCACTCTATCGCAACCCGATGAAAACCTGGCCGGCGTGATTAGCAGCGTGCAGCATATTTTAAGTGGGTTTCAGTAAGCTCAGTCTATATTTAGACCACAAAGAACATTTTCTTCAGCTTGGAAAAAGTGAACAATTTGTGAGCTGTGGAAACAAAATGTTAACAGATGTGCGAATACTAACCAACACCCTCTTCCAACGGAAAACATCACAAGCAAGTTCAAATGTGTAAAGACAAAAGACACATTAGGACTTTTATAAATATACTATGAACAACATGTGAAACAGTACAGTTACAGTAATTAAAGGGACACTATAGTCACCAGAACAACTACAGCTTACTGTATTTGTTCTGGTGAATAAAATCATTCCCTTCAGGCTTTTTGCAGTAAACACTGTCTTTTCAGAGAAAAGGCAATGTTAACATTACAGCCTAGTGATAACTCCACTGGCCACTAATCAGGTGGCTGCTAGAGGTTCTTCCTGGGGCAGTGCTGCATACTGTGCAGTACTGCTATTCAGTGTCTCCACCCTCTGCATGCAGACCCTGAACTTTCCTCATAGAGATGCATTGATTTAATTAATCTCTATGAGGAGATGCTGATTGGCCAAGGCTGTGTCTGGCTTGAGCTGGCTCTGCCCCGATCTGCCTCGTTGAAAGCCTCAGCCAATCCTATATGGAAGCATTGTGATTGGCTCAGGCCACTACTTCTGATGATGTCAGCAGCTGCAGACTTTAATACAAGTAAGATTTTACTATATTTAGGGAGGCAAGAGGGAGCCACAGTGGCTAAATGGTGGTTGTAACACTATAGGGTCAGGAATACATGTTTGTGTCCCTGACCCTACAGTGTTCCTTTTCAGCTTTCCAGCAATTTGAGCTACAATAGCTCTTCTGTGTGAGCGAACAGACAGGCTAGCCTTCCCTCCCCACATGCATCAATGACCTTTGGGGGCCCATGACCCTGATGCCAGTTCAATGGTTATCCTTCCTTGCACCACCTTTGGTAGGTACTAACCACTGCATACTGGAAACACACCACAATTCTGGATATGTCCTTACCCAGTTGTCTAGCCATCACTATTTAGTGCCTTGTCAAAGTCACTCAGATCTTTTTGCTGGCCCTTTTTTCTGGCTTCCAACACATAAGATTCAAGAACTGACTGTTCACTTGCTAATATACCTTATCATTCACAGGTGTCATTGTGATGATATAATCGGTGTTATTCACTTCACTTGTCACTGGTTTAAATGCTGTGGCTCATCAGTTTCATCTAGGGGAAAGTATTTATCCATTATATTTAGTTCATGTCATTTTATGGATAGGGAGGAGGGGGGGTGCACCAGAGGCCTTGATGGTAGTATTAACACAATAGAGTCAGGAATACAAGTTTGTGTTCCTGAGCCTATAGCGTTCCTTTAAGATTGGTTATAGTAACTAAGGAGATTACATCTCAACAGTAAATTGATTTGACATAAAAAGGAGGGAAGATATTATTAAACATGGACATTTAATAAAAAAAAGTGTGTTGAAGTAAAGGACCGTGCAGTGGTTTCAAGACGTTGTGGCACATTAAAGGAATACTACAGTGCCAGGAATACAATGCTCATGCCCCCCGTCCGTGTGAATAAAGGGCATTTATTTTACTCACCTGTTCCAAGCGCCGATGTCCCTTGGCACTGTGTCCTGGTTCCTCCCCCTCCACTGGCCTACGATAAGTGGGTGCTAATGCAGCGCGTGCATTAGACCTTCCTATAGGAAAGCATTGAATCAATGCTTTATTATAGGTCACCTGCTGGCATACGCATCAGCTCCCCAATGCTTCTATAGGAGGAAGGAGCACTGGATTGGACCATTGCAGAGGAGGTCATGCCTCCATGACGTTTGTGGGACGAAGAGAGGTAAGATGGCAAGTAAAAAAACACAAAATAATTTTAATAAAATGTATTAGAATTGGGGGAACCTCTATAAATAGGCACAGGGAAACTAAAGCATTAGGAATATAAGTTTGATTCACAATGCTTTAGTTCCTTCAAAGGACCACTATAGTGCCAGGAAAACATACTTGTTTTCCTGGCACTATAGTGCCCTGAGGGTGCCCCAACCCTCAGGGTCCCCCTCCCTCCCGGCTCTGGGGAGAAGAAAGGGTTAAAATTTACCTTTTTTCCAGCGCCGGGTGGGGAGCTCTCCTCCTCCGATCCTCCCTTTCGGCTGAATGCGCACATGCGGCAAGAGCTGTGCGCGCATTCAGCCAGTCTCATAGGAAAGCATTTACAATGTGATTTTCACAGTGAGAATCAGGCAAGCGCCTCTAGCGCCTGTCAATGAGACAGCCACTAGAGGATTTGGAGGCTGGATTAACCCTATTATAAACATAGCAGTTTCTCTGAAACTGCTATGTATATAAAAAAAGGGTTAATCCTAGAGGGACCTGGCACCCAGACCACTTCATTAAGCTGAAGTGGTCTGGGTGCCTAGAGTGGTCCTTTAATATCAAACCATTTAAACCAGTGTTTTTCTCAGTAACTCTTTGCCGACAGATCGCAATTATATCTAAAGACTGCAAACACATAAAAGCCCAGACCATTATTCATCTTTCACAAAATGAGATAGTTGGAATAATAGTCAGATAACAGGAAGTACTCACTTAGTAACTCTCAAACAGAGTTGTCCATTTGACAGCCAGATGGTGAAGCATGATCAGTCACATCATATAGCTAGACTTTAGAGTGTTAATACTGCTCCAAAATCCAATGGTGTGGAGATTTACACCACTCTAGTAGAGGACTAGCATTTCTCATGATTATAGAAGGCTTGTATAAGCTGTTCTACCATGAAAATAAATTTTCTTAAAGCAAAATAATATTTTTTTGCATTATATTTGTTTCCAACTTGGTAGTGGGTGCCATGAACAATGACAAATACATTTACATGTTTCAGCACACAGTGGTCCTTCAGCTTTTCCACTTCACAATAACAGCTCTTACAAAGAAAGGATGGAAATGTTGAATTCTGCTTGCTGGCAATGTGGCACCCTATGAAGGTGCCACAGTAGAAGCAATGTGGCACCCTATGACGGTGCCACAGTAGAAGTGTGTGGAAATGTGTAAGGAAGGACCATTGTGTTATCAATGTGGCTATGGCTTGAATAACGATGCCTGCTTGCTTTTAAAAAACAAACAACAATGGGTGTGTTTGCTATATCTAAATATAGTGATGAAAAGGAGTGCAAACATAGATTTGGGAGGCAGAGTGGGAGAAGGCCTGCGGAGATGACTGCAGCTTCTATCTATATCATGACTGGAAGTGAACAGACTAGGGGGAGATAGTATCTACATCAGCTCATTGGGTTTATTTTTTCCTCAGTTGTAAATCAAATGTGTCAGCTACTACCATAACATTCTTATGTAATTTTCCTACACATGACAATTGTAACAAAAGGGTGGGATCTTAAGGCAAACTCAACTTCCTTTGTCAAGCTTGCCTTAAAGGACCACTATAGTGCCAGGAAAACATACTCGTTTTCCTGGCACTATAGTGCCCTGAGGGTGCTCCCACCCTCAGGGCTGGATGGAGAGGAAGGGGTTAAACTTACCTCTTTCTCCAGCGCCGGGTGGGGAACTCTCCTCCGCCTCTTCGGCTGAAAGCACATGCACAGCAGGAGCCGCGCGCGCATTCAGCCAGTCCATAGGAAAGCATTCTCAATGCTTTCCTATGGACGCTGGCGTCTTCTCACTGTGAAAAATCACAGTGAGAAGCGCGGAAGCCCTTCTCTGAAACTGCTATGTTTATAAAAAAAAAAAGGGTTAACCCTAGCTGGACCTGGCACCCAGACCACTTCATTAAGCTGAAGTGGTCTGGGTGCCTATAGTGGTCCTTTAAACGGACACTCAAGATCCCTAAACAAGTTCAGCTTGCTGAAAAGCTTTATGTGCGAAGAGAGTGTCCTCTTTTTCATTTTGCAAAAAGTGCAGATTTCAATAAAAATGTACACTTCTATAAATTAACCTGGTTACACCCCTTGGCTTTCAAGCAGCACTGTTACTTCCAAGCTTAATTAGCAAAGTGGAGCTAAACTCAAGAGGCAGCAATTGCCCAAAGCATCTGTCTTGCAAAGACTTCTCATTGAGCTGCATTGGGAAGTCTGTGATTGGACAGTCACAGGCAATCTGGGCTGGGCTGGAAAGGGAGGGCTTGCAAAGGCTCCAGACAAGAAAACTGCATGTTTTCCCTGCTCTTTTTATATTTACACCCAATGAAAAAATGTGTGCAAGTTTTTATTTGTGGTATATCTACTAAACATTGAGTTTTACTTATTTTGTATTTGGATAGTAGTGTCCCTTTAAGTTCCACCCTTTGTCAAGATTGCCATGTGTAGGACAAAGGTGTCCCTACTTTGTCTTATGTTTTAAAAATAAATAAATGGGAACTGAAATAAAAAACAGATTCTGAAAGAGAAAATGAAATAATAGGAGAAAGGCAAGTTCGAGGTGACAGTGCCACTTTAACTCCCAACACACCTGTTTTGTACAGTATAAAATTGCATTTCAAAACAACTCCATTATTCATAAACGAGGATGTTAGCAGATCAAAAGCACTGAAGGAAAAAAAAAAAAGGTAGAAAAAAAAAAAAGTGTATTGATTTTTTTTTAAAACCCTTAAGGACGGTGTGCGTGCTATGCCGTCCTTGGGGACCCGGCTCTAAACACCGACGGGCGGAAAAGCACGTCCACGCATACATATTTAAGGAATATTTTTAAGTAATTTTATTAATTACAATTTGTGGGACCTGCCTGATAACCCAGGCAGAAAGCCCAGAGAATTTAATTTGCTAGCACTATATTTAACCCTTTAACTTTCTAAGAAACCATGAAACCTGTACATTGGGGGTACTGTTTTACTTGGGAGACTTCACTGAACACAAATACTAGTGTTTCAAAACAGTAAAATGTATTTTAATGATGATATCATCAGTGAAAGTGACATTTCACCCCCTTCTAAACCACTCAAGAGATGTGTGTTTAAATTCACTTAGCTATATACCTCTAGCTATTTTTAGCACCTGATCCTACATGGAAGCTTTAATTACCAACCTCCCCCCTATAATAAACTGACCACGTAGATACCGCCCTGCTGAACATATCCATATGGATACTGGTTCTACACTGCAAGTCGACAGCTCCTTTAACCCCTTAAGGACCAAACTTCTGGAATAAAAGGGAGTCACGACATGTCACACATGCCATGTGTCCTTAAGGGGTTAAATACTGCAATAAAACCTTTGGATTTTGCAACCAATCAATTGTATTGTACCCTTTTGACACAAAGTTCAGAACAAGTAACTGAAATAATTTGTACTTGTTAATATAAGTGGTCACAGCTAAACATATACCGCTGCTCAGATCTTGAGAAAGTTTTGATAGCCAGAAAAACGGAAAACGTAGACTGATCACCTTGGCTGGAGCCTTTATCACTCAATAAAATTTTTAACCATTTTAAAAGAAAATGGCAGTGCAGCACTTTGTCTGCAGTGGCCAAATTTTGTATTCATAGTTATCTTTTTTTTTTTTTTTTTTAATGACTGATTGCTAAATACATTAATTGTAGTTTAAGAACACATTTTACTGGAAGTATTACTGCTGTGGAGCTGTTTGAAACATCAACAATATGGAGTTCCTAGAAAAGAGGTACAGACAAATGTGGGCCCAAAATAGGGAATGTTCCTCCTTAAAAGGGACACTTGTGAGGTAAATGTTTAAATAATTATTCCACTTCTGCTAATCCAGGTGCTGTAGTTTATAACTCTTGTCATACTCGGGATGATTCCCCATGCAGGCCTACTGACAGCTGTTCTCCCAAAAGCTGAGCTGTGACTGATGTGAGTGGAAGTCACCAGGATGTCATGCTGAGAGTTATAGCCCTAGTCATGTTGTGTGTGCTGAGAATTATAGCCCTAGTCATGTTGTGTGTGCTGAGAGTTATAGTCCCAGTCATGCTGTGTGTGCTGAGAGTTGGCTAGGCTGTGTGTGCTGAGAATTATAGCCCTAGTCATGTTGTGTGTGCTGAGAGTTATAGCCCTAGTCATGTTGTGTGTGCTGAGAGTTATAGCCCTAGTCATGTTGTGTGTGCTGAAAGCTGGCTAGGCTGTGCATGCTGAGAGTTATAGTCCCAGTCATGTTGTGTGTGCTGAGAGTTTTAGTCCCAGCCAAGCTGTGTGTGCTGAGAGCTGGCTGTGAGTTTTATACAATGAGAGTCCTAGTCCCAAGCAGTCAGGCTGTGCCAGCTGAGAGTTGCAGTACCCCAATTCCTGGCATGTGACAGATGGCACACCTAGGCTGGCCCACTTACCCCACCAGGCTGATGACCACGGCGGCCAGGGCCAGGTAGTTGGTCTGGTAATAAAGCAGGTTGTTCACCACCCTGTTGTTCCATTTGGAGATATCCTTGAAGTCAGGCCGAGAGAAGCGGTCAGTCCCCGGGAAGAAATCATCCCAGGGCCTGAGTGGAGCCAGCCGCACATCCATCTTTCTGCGCTGCGCTGAGCTGAGCAAGGAGGAGACACGGGGCAGGCGCACGTCTACTGCACCCTCATCGACCAGTGACGCATGCGCAGAGAACGCACCGAGGGACAGCAGCGCGTCATACCTTAGAGAGGCACTAGGGGCGGCAGAGCACAGTGCTCCATCTAGCACAGTGCGAAGCTGCCATATTGTGGTTGGCAGATTGCAGCTAATCTGCAATTTGAGGTACAGTAAATGGATTAGGTTGAGTTTCAAACTTCATGGTGAAGCGGAATAATTTTTTTTTTTGTATCTATTTGTACGGATTATTGGGATAAAATCTGGTGGAAAAAGTCCATTAGTATAATTGTGTAAAACTGTGTGGGTCCTTATATTGGAATTGATTAAATGGTGCCATAATGACTAACTGGTTCTATAAAGATAAAAAACCAACAAACCCTAAATAATGCTTTCTAGGAGTTTCAAAAAAATTGATGGAACATATAAAGTCTTGATAACCTATCATATGATTTTTTTTTCTGCCAAGTGCTGGTATGGATTACAACTCTCATCATATGTTCTCTGCAGTGTTGATTTGCAAGAGACAAACAGATTGTATGAGAACAGGGACAATAGAGGAGAGAGTGGGACTACATTACACTTATTTTAACTTTTAGTTGCATTATATAGACAACTGCAACTTACACATACATTTGTAATTGAATAATACTAAATTTCTTTATATTTACAAAAAATGCACATGTACCTACATATTTATTTCCAATTTGAAAACATAGCTCATATCATAAGGATGTATTGGTACTGGAGGTTAGTGGGCTTGTGGGGGGCGTGCCAGTGAAGCCACTTGTGTCACTAGTGATACCCAAGAGAGTCTGTCCCACTCAGAATGTCAGTGGGACTACCCAAAGAATGAAAGTGTCAGTCTATCGTGAATGCCCTCCAGGCTAACTGACAGCTTGTCTTGCCAGTTCCACCATAAGCCATAAGCACATGTGCAGAACACTTTTCAGTGCTCTGGGCAGTTGCTTAGTAATCTAAAAGAGAGTTTTGCATAGCGCAGTATTGACCAGTGATGCTCTTGTGCTATGTTGTTTGGGGGAACCTAACGCTCTTAGCCAGTGAGCGTGGTCTTGCATGGTCCTTCTGTGCCATGAAGAGCAATCTGCAGATGTAGAGGATGTGGGTGCAGGTACCATGTCTAACCAAGGTAAGTCGTCAACCATACAAAAACAATTTGATATCTCACCAAGGAACAGCGCCAGGGTACTCCTGGCACCATAAACACTACAGTGGGATATAGTGGTTATGGTTGTTTAAATGATTTTTCAGTTATTAGCTCCCGCCCCCTCCTCCTTCTTTGTGCCCCTCCGGCATGTAAAGAGTTAAATAACTCTTTACTTACCCAATTCCAGCGATGGTATGCCTCGGCGATGGGTTGGTGCTCTGCCTTCTCCAACCTCGGGGCCTAATGCGCACGCATAGCAAGCGCCGCTAGCACATAATGCTTTCCTATAGGGATTTTAAGGACGCTGGATGTCCACATGCAGAGCGTGAGGACGTACATCATCAGTTAGGCGGCCTAAAGTCCGGTAATATCCCGGAAGCGCCTCTAGTGGTTGTCTGGTAGACAGCCACTAAAGACTGTATTGGCACTGCAATGTAAACATAGCAGTTTCTGAATGTTTTACATTGCAGGACTAACTGGAACAAGGACATTGCGCCCAGACCACTTCAATTGGTCTGGAGTCCTTTAAATCAACATTACATTGCAGGAACTAGCAAGATGGAAGTATTTTAGAAAAGGGAGATAGGACAGTGGAGGTAGGGTTAAGTTGTAGAATGCATCAAAATCATTTATTATTTTTTTTTTTTAAATATTCATAATTGGTCGTTCAAAATAACAGCTAATAATTTAGGCTGCAAGTTACAAAATATATAAACTCTTTGCCAGTGCTTGGAGTTAGATCTCCCCAGAGTGCTGACTGTATTCTATACAAGAAGATATATTTTTTTTTACAGATTAAAAGAGAGCTTCCATCGTACAGGAGCAAATCGTGTAAGAGACTCTATTCTTTGCACAGCTAAAAAAAAAAAATATAATAAAAAAATAAAAAAATAAATCATAAAATATCACTGTATGGATTTGCTATCTTGTAAATTTACTATTACTAATAAAGTTGCTTCGTAAAAAAAAAAACAAAAAAAAACCAACCACCGCCTTGGTTGGCAAACATACCTCTGGCTGGCTCACGTTCGGTCTCCGCCCATTGGCTCGCAGTGCACGCCGGGAAGCGCTGGACTCCATCAATATGGCGGATGCTGTAGAGCCGTGAGTATCCAGTGTGCTGATTGATAGAGTGTGTCCCTTCCCTTATTCTCTCCCACTCTCTGTCACGGGCCAGGAAGTGGCACTCAGACCCTTCTTTTATTCTCTCTCTCTCTTTTTAGGGAGAAGAAAAGAAGGAAGATAGAAGAGCTGACTGACAAGTTAGTACTATTCACAGGGGCTGGGAAATGGAGCCAGTAAATACAAACACAATACAATACAAACACAACACAACACAACACAACACAACACAACACAACACAATACAATGGAATACAACCAGCCCATAACCAGCCCATAACCCCCTGACCCCCAATCAGTCTGCCTTCATATGTGCAAGTTCCTTAGCCAATTGATGGCTAGCTGCTGGCCCTCCAGGTGCTGTGAACAATGCATGTTATTCTGCCCAGCTAGCCAGATTGCTGGCTGATCACAATGAGATGTGTCGTTCCCATTCCCCGGGGTGCCAGACGTTAGCCTTCGCTGCCTTGGTACTAGAATGAACCTGCTCGTATTATATTGCTAGTGCCAATATTTATTTGTAATTTTTTTATTTTTTATTTTTTTATTAAATGCTTTGTAAACTATGTATAATAGCCTAATAATCTAAGGCATTGGTTAGCCTGAACAAGGGGTAGGCAACCTTCGGCTCTCCAGATGTAGTGGACTACATTTTCTGTTATGCTTTGCCAGCTTTACGGCTGTAAGAGCATTATGGAAGAAGCAGTCCACAAGATCTGGAGTGCCGAAGGTTGCGTACCCCTGGCAAGGTTGGCCTGGAGGTATATACCCAACTGTTAATGGAAGTACAAAAGAACAATAAGTGAAAAAGCAACACGGGAGTTATAGTGCTTTAACTGTTGGTGATCTACATTTTTTCCTGGTCGAGTCAGTTACATGGGTGGTCTAGCCGCCAGAACCTATAGAGCCTGCAACAGTAGTTATGGTGTCAGGAGACCTTCTATGCTGTCTCACGGTAAGTCGTCCACCAGGCGCTTCGTATCTGGCCTCATTTTCTGATGTCACTAATGTGGAAGTTTTTCTTCCACATTAGTGATAAACATTTTGCCCATGGGTCCACCTGAGAGGGCGTTTTCAGCTAATGAATTCCATCCAGATATGGGCAAAAAGGGATATATTGTTCTTTTTTTATATTGCAGAAATAGCGGCCAGATAAGAGGTTCTTGAAAGACCCAGATCAGTGTCAAGCCATTTGAAAATGGTTTGATTACTTACCGTGATTCCGCACAAGGCAGATCTTGGCTCTATAACAAGTACTGAAACTGTAGAGCTTAAGGTGCTTAGGTGGCCCCTTCACGTTTTTCCTTTACAGTTGACAATTTGACTGTATAATACCAAATTATACACAGAAAATACTCAAAGTTGTAATGTCTTATTGTAACATAATGCTGGTGTTTCGTTCAGGATAATTTATCAGCCTAAAATGTTTATTTGCTAAACACTGAATTAATATCTATTCTGTGTATACCAAAACAACAAAGTTAGGAAAAAACCTCCATATATACTGCTTTTAGGCTAAACACTGCATTTAATTTGTCATTCTCGCAAAATTCTCCATTGATTACATTATTGCCTAATGCACTTTCTATATGGCAAGTAGAAAATTATATTACCCATGGGCAACCTAGCAGCAACACTTCAAATTTAGCTTTCATTTTGGTTAATTTATATTTATCCTATAGTTTTGTTTTTAAAATCATTGTACATCTCATATTTATTGCTTCTTTTTTTTCCTTTGACTTTCATAAATAATGTGAAACTTTAATTGACAGCTCAAATGAATTATTTCAGATAGTGCTTTGCCAATTAGATACATGTTTGTTTAACACCCTCCACTGCATTCTGTTTGATCCAGTATAGCATATCTTGAGGCTTTATTATTTAGAAAGGGACTTTGTGGATTGGTTTAAAGGATTAATTAAGGTATCATGACCACTACAGTCCGTCTAGTCATTATGATGCTAAGAGTAACCTAGTCTCATTCCTCTGGTAATGGGAAAAACTATTTAACAATGGGTTGCTCTTTTTCCTTGGGCTTGCTGTCCTTGAGGGTCCTTGCAGATCTGGTGATACGCATCTGGCTTCAGCAGAGCTAGAGCAGCCGTATACCGATGCTTTTGCTATTCACTGGCTGAGAGCAACTATTGTCCTGGACTGGCTAGTGAGGCCACAATGACACTGCCAGAGGTAGAGTTAAACTTTTGCAGTAAAGTGGTTAAACTCTGTATGTGCAGAATTTCATGATGTAATGCTGCACATACAGATTCCAGGCACCATGACGGCTTCAGATCTCTAAAGTGATCATGGTACTTGGAGTAACTTTTAAATAAACAAATACCATACATTGGTATAATAGAAACATTCTATCATTCAGTAAACAATTTTAAAGGGACTTTCATGCATAATAACAACTTATGCTTGTCCCAGTCGCCCTGTACACCATTGTTTTCTAAAATGCTGCAATTTGTTGTAAGCCTGTTTTTTCTGTGCCTGATGTTAGAGGAGGAAGCTAATACACATCCTCTGCCTTTCCGAATATTTGTATATTGTGTGCATGCTACACAAATTTCTGGCTTCCTTCACAGTGTCTTAATGAACTTACAGTGATGGAGCCTGAGACTTGTGAACGGAGCGGTCCAAGCGGTTTATTGTGTTTGCTGCTAAGTGCTTACGTTTTTATGAAAAAACACCTGCTGGTCGGGATAATATAAGATAGGATCAGACTAAATTGAATAGAATATGTATTCTCATTGGCTGAACCACATCCTAAAGTGGTCAGAGCTCATTGCA